CTTTCTCAAGATTGTTTTTGTTATTCAGGGTCCATTGATTTTTAGGATTGTTTTTTCTGTTGTGCAAAAAAATGCCCTTGGGATTTTGATAGGGATTACACTGAATCCATAGATTGATTGCTATGGGCATTACATACATTGTAACAATATTAATTCTTTCAGTCTATAAATACAAGATGTTTTTGCACTTATTTGTGTCATCTTTTAACTTAACCAATGCTTTGTAGTTTTCAGTATATATGTCTTTCATTTTGCTAAATTTATTCCTAAGTGTTTTATTTTTTTGATGCTATTGTAAATGCGATTATTTTCTTAATTTCCTTCTTGGATTGTTTAGAGAGAGAGAAAGAGAGAAAGAAAGTGAGCATTTTTGTAGTGATGTGCTTTGATTCCTTACTCATTGTCTTTTGTGTGTTTTCTATAGGTATTTTCTTTGTGGCTAGCATGGGGCTTATAGAAAACATAGCTGTAATGGTGTATTATAAGCTGGTAACAACATACTTCAGTTGGATACAGAAACTCTACTTTTTTATTTCTTCCCACGCTTTGTTATTGTTGTCACAAATTACATCTTTTTATATTGTGTATCCATTAACATATTTTTATAGTTATAGTTATTTATGCATTCGTCTTTTAGCTCCTATACCAGAATTAAAAGTGATTTATGCAGTGTCATTATAGTATTATAGCATTTTATATTCTATTTATTTACCTTTACCAGTGACCTTAAACATTCATACCCTTTTTGTGTTGCTGTGTAGGGTCCTTTAATTTCTACTTGAGTTTCTACTTGAAGGACTACCTTTAGCATTTCTTGAAAGTCAGGTCTGATGGGTGAATTTCCTCAGCTTTTGTTTATTTGAAAACGTTTTTATTTCTTTTTTGTTTTTGAAGGAAAGTTTTGCTGGATATAGTATTCCTAGTTCTCTGTTTTGTTTCGTTTTTTTTCTTTCAGCACTTGGAATATATTATCCTACATCCCCTTCCTGCCTATCAGATTTCTGTTGAGGAATCTGCTAATAGTCATATGGGGGCTCCTTAAATAACCCCATCATTCTAAATCAGCTGTTCATCAGTGACTTTAATTCTGAAGAAGGGAAGCAAAAGCTTAGAGTTTTCTGAAACTAGAAGATCTTGAGACCGTGAATTAGAGGACACTTTCAAGCTTACTTTATTTATTAAAAAAATTTTTGTAATGTTTATTTATTTTTGAGAGACAAAGAGAGACAGAACGTGAGTGGGGGAGAGGCAGAAAGTGAGGGAGACACAGAATCCAAAGCAGGCTCCAGGCTCTGAGCTATTAGCCTAGAACCTGATGTGAGACTCAAACTCACGAACCGTGAGTTCATGACCTGAGCCAAAGTCAGATGTTTAACTGACTGAGCCACCCAGGTGCCACCACCCCTCACCCCGCAGCTTGCTTTAAATTTAAACTCGGAGCATTCATTCTCTTTTCTGCTTGCAGAGAGTAGAATGCTCAAGAGTAGAGGAATCAAGAGCTCATAATTACATCTCAAGTAAATCTATTAATACACGTATGTTATTTCTTTGGAAAATAGTGGCACATAACTTTATGCCAAAAAATATTTTCCACACATCTATATCTGTATCTGTTTTCCTAATGAAATAACACTTATTGTGTTTTTCCCATTTACTTTTGAGGATATAATTTGGGCTGTAATAGCCTCAGAACTGTTTAAGGCACAAGTTTAAGATTATTTACAGTAAAAGTTTCTCACGTAGGTTTCTTTCATTCCTGAACTAAGAAAAAAATAAACACCCATACATACTTGTTAAGTCTGCTGCTCATAAAAATAAAAAACTAACAAAACTGTACTCTTAAACATAAATCAAGTACTTTATTTCTTTTCTGACAATATAATTAAACCAGTTGTTTAAAAGCCATATGGCTAAATACACTATTTTATAAAATGTCACTAAATGTACTGATTGCCTTCCCAGAACTAAGAATCTGTCAAACTGTCTTGGTAGAAATCTTACTGGAAGGGGTAATTGAGACTTGTGTAATGCAATCTAAGATAACCTTTTGTTTTTAATTAAAATAGAGAATAAGAAGCCAATTCAAAAATTTGTCTTCCTTCATCTGCTCGAGGTAGAGTAATGGAACTTCTAACAGGGCCCCAGCACTTGTTAAAAACATCAATTCTGACTATGGGCTGTGAGTCTGTAGCCCTTATGTGTACAGCTCCAAATGCCGCCATGGTATATCATGGTCAAGCTCATGAGTGAATTAATATTCAACTGTTACTTTTTGGTTAGTAGGGTTTGGAGGATTTTTCTTCCTCACAGTGAATTAAAGTAGGTTTCTCCTTAAGCTTAGAAAAAACAGGCTTTCTAAGATTATAGCAGATAGAGGACATTTAACATTCTGGACAACAAAACTAAAATGCACTGGGAGGAAAATAATTCTTTTTGGTACTACATTGTGCTGTCGGTAGCCTCATAGTAAGCATTCACTTACTGGTTTTGAATTGAATTTTTAAAAATAGCTTTATTGAGATATAATTCACATGATTTGTGCTATATATGCTGCATAATTCATGCAAAGTGTACAATTCAGTGATTTTTTAGTATTTTCACAGAGTTGTGCAAACATACTTACAAATAATTTGAGAACAGTTTCATTATCCCCCAAAGAAACCTTGTACCCATTAGCAACCACTCCTTATCTCCCTCTACACCTTTCCAATCTCATGCAATTACTTTCTGTCTCTATAGATTTGCATATTCTAGAGATTTCATACAAATGGAATCCTTTAATATGTAGTCTTTTATGATTGGCTTCTTGCCATGATGTTTTCAAAGTTCATCCATGTTGATTCCTTTTCCTTTTTATGGCTGAATAATATTTCTTTTGTAGGGCTATACTACATTTTTTTTTTAATACAGTGCAAGCAGGGAAGAGTGGCAGAGGGAGAGAAAGAAAGAAAATGTTGAGCAGGCTCCACTCTCAGCATGGAGCCCAACACAGGGCTAAATCCCAGGACCATGGTATCATGACCTGAGCTGAAATCAAGAGTCAGATGCTCAACCAACTGAGCCACCCAGATGCCCCTATACTACATTTTATTCATCCATTCATCAGTTGATGAACACTTGGGATGTTTCTGCTGTTTGGCTGTTGTGAATTAAGTTGCTCTGAACATTGCTGTGCAGGTTTTTTTTGTGTGGATATGTTTTCATTTCTCTTGGGTAGATATCTACCTAGAAGTAGAATTGCAAGATCATATGGTAATTTTGTTTAACCGTCTGATAAACTGCCAGTCTGTTTTCTGAGGGGGCTTCACCATTTGATGTTCCTACCAGCTGTGTATAATGGTCTGCATTTCTCCACATCATTGCCAACATTTAACATTGTCTTTAAAAAAAATTTTTTTTAATTTATTTTTGAGAGAGAAAGAGCACATGAGCAGGGGAGGGGCAGAGAGAGAGGGAGACACAGAATCTGAAGCAGGCTTCCAACATGGGGCTCAAACTCATGAGCCACAAATCATGACCTGAGCTGAAGTCAGATGCTTAACAGACTGAACCATCCAGGTGCCCCAATATTGTCTTTTTTATTATAGATCCTATTGGATGTTAAGTGGCATATCATTCTGCTTTTGATTTGCAATCATATCATGGCTAATATGGGCTGAGTCACCCTGTCTTTATTGCCATTTGCTTATCTTCTTTGGATCCTTTGCTCTTTTGGAGTTGGGTTATTTGTCCTTTTATTATTGAATTGGGAGAATTCTTTATATATTCTGGATACAAACATCTTATTAGATAGATGATTTGTAAAAATTTTCCCCATTCTGTAATTTTTCCCACTTTGTGATGTCTTCCAAAGGACAGATATTTTTAAGTTGATGAAATGTATTCTTGTTCTTTCTTTGCACTTGCTTTTGGTGGCCTATCTAAGAAGGCTTTGCCTAACCCAAAGTCACAAGGATTTACTACTATATTTTCTTCTTTTTTAAATTTTTAATATTTATTTATTTTTGAAAGAGAGAGAGAAAACAAGTGGGGAAGGGGCAGAAAGAGAGGGAAATACAGAATCTGAAGCAGTGTCCAGGCTGTGAGCTGTCAGCCCAGAGCCCGATGTGGGGCTGGAACCCATGAACCAAGAGATCATAACGTGAGTTGAAGTCGTACGTTCAACACACTGAGCCATCCATGCGTCCCCTACTACTGTATTTTCTTTAAGAGTTTGGTAGCGTTAGCACTGACATTTAGGTCTGAAATTTATTTTGAGTTAATTTTTATGTGTTGTGTGAGGAAGGGGCCCAAATTCATTTTTTTGTTGTGGATGTGTAGTTGTTGAAATCCAGCACCATTTTTCAAAGAAACTCTTCCTTCTCCATTGTAGGTTTTTTGGAATATTTCTCAAAAATCCACTGAGCATGAATGTAAGGATCCATTCCTGGACTCTGAGTTCTGTTTCACTGACCTGTATTTCTTGTTGTTATGCCAGTGCTACATTCTTAATCACTGTAGCTTTGTAGTAAGTTTGAAATTGTGAAGTTTGAGTCCTCAAACTTGAATCTTTTTCAAGATTGTCTTGGCTGTTTGGGATCCCTTGCTTTTCTACATGAATTTTAGGATCCATTTTTCAATTTTGGCATAGAAGTCAGTTAGGATTTTCATGGGGATTATGTGGAATCTGCAGGTCTATTAGGAAAATATTACCATCATTAGAACTGTAAACTTCTTTGGGGCAGGATATATTTTAACTACTTTTGTATTGCTGAGAGTTACTGTCATAGTTGTTTAAGAAAAACATTTTTGATGCTCTTTGGCAGCTAATTACAAAATAAATGGAGTATTAAGTGGTACTGTGAAATTGCATTAATGAAAAATGGCTAGCTATCATTTTTTAAGTCTTCAAATTTATACATATTGCCATTATTCTTTTGAAGACAATCTAAAAAATGATTGCTTTGGACATTGTTTTATTTTAGAAGGCATAATGAATATGTTTTTTAAATTCATTTTAGGTACCAAATCTGATTCCAGTTTTGATGTTCAAATTGGGAAGACCACTGGAGCCTGTATTATATAATGATATCTTGTATACTTTGCCAACACTTGGTGTTCACAAGGTTTGTATTTAACCAGTTTACTTGGGGGCAAAAAGAGAGTGAGGCATGAGGGGTGTCTGGGTGGCTCAGTCCGTTAAGCATTTGACTCTTGATTTTGGCTCAAGTCATGATCTTAAAGTTTTTTGTTTTTTGTTTTAATTTTTTTTTTATGTTTTATTTATTTCTAAGAGGGAGAGAGAGAGAGAGAGACAGCATGAGCAGGGGAGGGTCAGAGAGAGAGGGAGACACAGAATCTGAAACAGGCTCCAGGCTCTGAGCTGTCAGCACAGAGCCCGACGCAGGGCTTGAACCTAACCTACGAACCGTGAGATCACAACCTGAGCCGAGTCAGACACTTAACCAACTGAGCCACCCAGGAGCCCCATGATCTCACAGTTTTGTGAGCTCAAGCCCTATGTCGTCCGGCTCTGCGCCGACACCGTGGAGCCTGCTTGGGATTCTCCCCTTCTCTCTCTCTCTTTGCCCCTCCCCTCCACTGCTTGTACTCTCTCTGTGTTTCTCAAAAATAAATAATAAAAAAAAAGAGTGACGCATGAATAATACATTGAATTTTGTTTGGTATCATGAAATTTTGAGCCCTTCATTTTGCCATGACCACTATTTTCCTTGTTGGGACCAAAGTATTATAATATTTAAGAATTAATTCTTTGAAAGCATTTAGTAGCCAGGTTTTCCCATTGGGTGTCATCTGAGATTAGGTTTTTATGCCCCCAGGATTGCTAGCTAGCTCCTCCCTAAAACTATACCCCACCTCTCAGAAAGATGGGTAATATTTTGGTTAACGTTCATTTCAGTCTTTATTTTATAACAAGGGGTTTTCACATTATTTTTGGTAACCTCAGGATTATCTGCATTTACATTTGTGAAACCAAAATTTTCTCAATCTTCTCTAGGTGTGTATAGGACAAATTCTTCGAGTGATCCAGCTCCTTGGAACTACTCCACAACTAAGAGCTGTCACTCTGCGCTTGTTGACATCTTTGTGGGAAAAGCAGGTAAGCTTTGATATACACTTGTGTATCAGACATGTTCCTTTCACCGAAGCAAATTAGTTTTTCAGTACGTGTGACAAAGCTTTGATATAGCAATGTTAAGGAGTCGCATCAGTGATTGCATTGCAAAATTTTGGTGAGGCATGATGCTTTTGATCTGTAATGCAGTCAGTTGTGACTGATTCTCAAAGAGAAACTGAGAAGAGAAAATAAACTTTCTTCCTTAATTCTGAAATTTATTTTTCCATCTGCATGGAAAAAGTAATAGAAGTATGATTATAAGTGATTAGAGCCTTTGTAATTAGGATGAGATTCAGCCACCTTTTTCTTAGGAAATGAATAGTATGCGGGTCTGTAAGAAATTCTCATCAATCACAAAAGCATTCTTCTCTGCTGATTAGAAGAAATGCATTATAATTAGCGATGCAAATGCAAGATTTGGAGGTAAAAATGATGTGTAAAATGATTATTCCACTCAAGTTGGGAAATTACCTTTTTTTGTGAAATTGCCTTCTTAGGATCGTGTATATCCTGAACTGCAGCGTTTCATGGCCATGTCCGACGTGCCTTCGCTGTCTGTGGGCAAGGAAGTCCAGTGGGAAAAACTGATCGCTAAAGCAGCATCAATCAGAGACATATGTAAGCAAAGGTAAGATGTACTTACCTCTTGGGAATGTATGTCATGATATATTATTTTGCACCCAAATTTTTTTATTGTGAGCAAGAAGCCAGGAAAGAGAGGCAGAGGGTATTTGAGTAAGAATAAGTTAATTTTCAGCTCAAATTTTATGATTATGAAACTTAGTAATACTGGATAATGACTTTGAGAAGCAAGCATGTCTTTTTATCTCAGATCTAGCCTTGTACCTAGATTTATAGGAAATTTCTGTCCTTTTCTGGATAATAATATTATAAAAAATTTGATATGTTTTCTTTTTTTTTTTTTTTTGGTATGCAGGTTTCTAAAACCTAAGCAGTGGACTGTAGTCAAACTGTTCTTTCTTAAATTTTCCCTATGTTATGCCTGATTGTTATAAGGAGTTTTAATAGGGAAGGCCTTATTTGTGACTCATTACATAGAATTAATTACATAGAAATTATTACAAGGGGGGACCTAATATTGAATCCCCATGTATGCTCCAGAGTATAGGAAGATGTGAGGCTATTAGGAAAGTGACTCAGCTGTTGTAGATTATGGATTAAATCCTGAAGTGGTAACATGGATGATTCCTGTTTCAAATAAATCTCAGATCAGAATGGATCTAAACCTCAGCAGTTCTGCCTCTTTTCTAAGCTTTAGTCTTTTGCCCACCCAAACATAACCTCACTCTACAAGTCACACACATATAACCCAAGACCCAAGAGTTTGGATTCTCTTGAGGTTCTGGCATGGAAAACATTTTAGAGATGAAGAAATTATTAGCTGCTTTTTTTATTTTTAGGTTTGTTTATTTTTTGAGAGAGAGAGAGAGTGCAAGCAGGGAGGAGCAGAGAGGGAGAGGGAGAGAGAGAGAATTCCAAGCAGGCTCTACAACATCGGTATGAAGCCTGAGGTAGGGCTCAAACTCATGAACCATGGCATCACGACCTGAGCCAAAATCAAGAGTCGAATGCTTAACTGAGTGAGCCACCCAGGCGCCTCGTTAGCCAACATTTTAATTTTACACATGTAAAGTTGAGGTTCAGCAGAGGTTAAATATCAGACCGGGTCGGAGTCTGTTGATAATTTATTCAGTGTTCCTTTCAGTTACTTCCTCAAGATCCGCCAGATTTTTCCAGTTTTGGAAAATGATATCTGTGGGCCAGACAGTGGAACTGTAGAGTCCAGCCAGGCAGTTTCATCAATTGGTATTTCATTAGAGAAAACTATTACATTATTCAAGGCTTATAAGGAAAGCCAAGGATGGACCTGAACCTTTCTTGGGGAGGTTAAAATCCTTCGGAGGATAGCACATTACATGTGGAATAGAGAGGAGATGGTAAGAAGGAGCATGAGTGAGTGAATCTAGCACAGTGCCTGGCATGAGATAGGTGTTTGGTTAGTTACAATTCATATCATTTTTATCATCATCATCATCATCGTCATCATCATCATCATCATCATTGGCATCCTTATTCTGATAGGTTCAAGCACCTTAATTTTGCTACCATAATAAATTATCTTCTGAGAGGCAATCCCTGCTTTTGTAGTCAGTGGCTGATAACCAGAGCAGCCAGTAGGCAGGAAATAGCTCTATCTGTACTGATAATCTCAATGAGGAAGTCAGTTCTTTTCACCATTATTATAGACTTGAGTTTGTGTCAACTCAGACAGTAGGTCTCACAGTTTAGGGAAGAACAAAATATGTTAGCACGCGTCCTCCTTTTTGGATAATATTTCTGTATCGTAAATGAGCCTCGGGTTACAGCAGTAATGATGGCGATGCGAATCTTTGAAGAAAACCTACATTCATACTGGAGGGTCAGCATTTAGGGGGCCACAAGGGTAAGAGAAGCACTGGTGCTTTTTGTTCAGGCAGAAGTCCTGGGAGTGGTCACATGCTCTTCTGCTTTAATCTGGTCTCTAAACGATCATTTCTCACAGGCCCTATCAGCATGGTGCAGATATGCTGGCAGCCATTTCCCAGGTGTTGAATGAGTGCACCAAACCTGATCAAGCCACTCCGGCCGCCTTGGTGCTGCAAGGTCTTCATGCCCTCTGCCAAGCTGAGGTAGGCTTTCCAAAATCACTTTGGATAATTTTGCCAACAGTACTTTATGAGGCATAGCAGTTCCAAGGCTGTGAGTTCAGATTCAAGTATTTAAGTGTTAGAATATTCACTCCCAGAGAGTTTTGTTTGGGAAGTGAAGCAAGGCCTTCTCCTTTCTAGAGGGGAGTCTGGAAACATCTGGTTGTGTGAACATTCTCTAGGGGCTAAAGGAAACCCACTCTATTTCCATTCCTTATTTGTATTTGTTTTTGTTAACATAGAAGGTAAAGTTAGGCTCTTAGGAGAACTCCTGAGTATATTTGTGCCTTAGTTTTGCGATGAGAGAGGCTTAGAAGCAGAGGAGGTGAAGAGATTGGCATAAGCCAGTGGCAGATTTATAGCCAGCAATAATGATTGTTGGCTTAAAGACTGGCTAAGGATTGTTTCTTTCCTAGTGATCAGTTTGGGATTGATGTTAGACTTGAGTCTCTAAATCATTTTCTGAATGATTTAGATCACTCCCCAAATCAGAACACAGCGGAGAGAATCCTTAACCATTTTGTAGAAATGTGGTAATTATGTCAATCTTCATCCACCTAACCAAAGTTTTTGCACAGTGAACATACTTACACAATCGTAGTACTTTAGTGAATGAGACTAGGTGAAGCTTATGGCAGTTAACAGTTGATACGATCATGAATATAATGATATAATAATACAGGCAGCGACTGTATTGAGTATTTAGATGGCCATGTTCTTGGGCATAGTAGTTTCCATTTATGTTCCTCATGAATTCTGCAATATAGGGATTATAACATCATTTCATAAGTGAGGAAAATAGTTCTTGAGGGAAGGGTTTACTCAGGATTTTGGTAGGGGAATAAACTAATTTTCTTTCAAGTAAACACTTATTTTAGCAGAGAGCGAACATTGCCACTATTTAGAAACCACTGTGTGCTGAGGGCAGTGCTTTTAGACCATGTCCCCAGTAGTTGACAAAGTCCTTTCGGGTTTCATAGGACAGCAGGGGACTACTTATACATAACAAAGAACTTTTGTTTTTTATTGCTTCAGTTAGTCATCTGGAATTGGGAAGGATCCCTTTAATAATTACATTACTTTCAAAATAAATAATTCAAAACCTTATTTTCAAATGTGTTGTCAATAGAAGCTTTGAGAGAAGAGAGAATTCTATACTTTTACCTCGGAATGGTGATCGCTGTTGCCATTGTTGGAGTATTTCCGTTTCGTTATTTTTTCCAAGCAGAAATCAGCTCCTTTCCGAAATTAACTTTTCCCCTCTAACGAACGGTAATTTTGTCTGACTGTGGCTGTAATTCCATTGTGTTCTCCACCCATTCAACAGTTCTGTTGTCTCTAGATGCTTATTAACTCATAAGAAATACTCCGTGTGTGGCACTAGTTTTTCTCATTCCGTTTCTCTAATATATATATTATATATATATATATACACACACACACAGTACTATATACTATCTAAATCCATTCAGGTTGTTGTAACACAAATAACTGAAACTGAGTGGCTTATTAATAAACATATATTTCTCATGGTCTGGAGGCTGGTAAGTTTGAGATCCAGGTGCTAGTATATTCACTGTCTGGTAAGGGCCTGCCTCTTGGTTCATAGATAGCTATCTTCAGGGGTAGCTTTCTTCTTGCTATAACCTCACATGCTGAAGGGGAAGGACAGCTCTCCGTAGTCTCTTTATATGGACACCAATCCCAGGCATGAAGCTCTACCCTCATGACCTAGTCATCCCCCAAAGTTCCTAGCTCCTAAAACTATCACCTTGAGAATTATGATTTCACGATATGAATTTTGGAGGGGATACAAATGTTCAGCCTACAGCAGCTTCTTTGCGTCTCACATTCCACTGTCTTGCAGAGGAATGGAGACCTCAAGACCTTTGTCTTATTTTGATTCCTTAATATTTTTCCTCTGCTCAGTTAAAGGCATGTCACTTTTCCATTGTGACACCCCTTCCCCTTCTGTTTCTTTTCATGTTATGAAATCCAAATCTCCTATGATACTTTTATAAAAAATGCACTTTGAAAAAACTTCAACTGTCATGTTACAAAAGAAATAAGAAATCCAAAGAGTCTTTCTAACAAATACATGCTAACGTCTTTTAATCTTTTCTGTAATAATTATCATAACGTAACATTCACAATCAGTTAACTTCATTTATTATAAAGAATACTTACTTTCTGGGGTGCCTGGGTGGCTCAGTAAGTTAAGTGTCCAACTCTTGATTTAGGGTCATGTCATGATCTCAACGGTTTGTGAGTTCAAGCCTCGAGTTGGGCTTTGGGCTGAAAGTGTGGTGCCTGCTTGGGATTCTCTCTCTCTCTCTCTCTCTCTCTCTCTCCGTGCCCCTCTCCCACTCTCTCCCTCTCTCTTACTCAAAAACAAACAACAAAAAGAGAATACTTATTTTCTTACCCCTTCTTTTTCTTTTTTTAAAGTTTACTTATTTATTTGGTGAGAGGGAGAGAGCAGGAGAGGGGCAGAGAGATAGATAGAGAGAGAGAGAGAGAGAGAGAGAGAGAGAGAGAACCCCAAACAGGTTCCACACTGCCAGCATGGAGCCTGACACAGGACTGGAACTCATGAACCGTGAGATCATGAGTTGAGCTGAAATCAAGAGTCGGACACTTAACCAACTAAGCCATCCAGGTGCCCTACCTTATCCCTTATTTTTCATCTTTCTTTTTTAGAGGATAGGTCCACTATTTTATTGATACTTACTAGAGGTAAATAGTGTTATTTACCATCTTTTCCTCATAGACTGTCCAAGTGTCCCAAGTTGTGAAATTTGTTGAAAATTATTGCATCACCGTTAACTTTGGCAATAGAAATACTCTTTAAAAAATGTTTGGTAATGAATAGCTTTATGTTCATTTAAATAAGTAGAAATAATCAATTTCCACTTGATGAGCCTTGATGATATCAATATATATCTTTAGGTTTTGTTTAAGCCTTTCCAAGCTTTTTGTGTATGTGTTCATTATGTGTGACGCTGCTGCTGTTATGTCCCGTGATGTGTGTTAAAGTTGCAAAAATACACTCAGCTTGGTGCCTCTTGCCAGGCCACATTTACTAATTTTGGGCTAACCTTTTTCTCCTTTTTTTTTTCCCTGCATGCATTCTGTGAGGCCATTTAGTCTGTCTTCTAATTGATATCATGTGTGAAGCATTGATGGTTGCCAAGAGTTTCCAGAATGAAAATAGTCAGCATCGTTCTAAATCTATTTCCCAGTAGCATTTGGTAGTAATTTGTCTATCCACTGCTTTTTAGATCCTTGACTGTCAAATATAATTAGGAATATAGAAAGCCTAAAACAGTGAAATTTTATAAACCAATAGGGAAAAGAGACTAAAATTGAATAACCCTATCTTTTAGAAAGTACCTCATTTGGAAAACCATCCCAAATCGGATTTCATTGGGCTTTCCTCTCCTTGCCTTTGTCTAGTAGGCAGAGCTCTTTTTCTAAAGGTTGAAATGGAACTCCTCAGTTTTAGAGTCACAGTCATGAAATTCATTTGTCCTGTAGGGTGAGATTAAGCCTGCAGTTACTGCTGCTTAATCATGTATCATGGTCTCCAATGAGAGAGTGAAAGGATGGATTCCAATCTAAATGTCAGCCCTGTCAAGGTGAAGATCATGGTTCCAGTTTGAGGTTCTTCTGTGCTGTTTACTAAACAACAATTAGAAAGGGGAAATTCTAGGAATCTTGGTTGACCGTATTACATTAAGAATGTAGTTTCCATTTTGGAACTGGACAAGAAATGCACTCTCTCCTTAACACTGTTGGTATGTTGATTTAAGACTTCACACGTGGTTTTTGTTTGTTTGTTTTTGTATGCTGGACTCCGTGAAAGTTACAGCTACTATTTCTTTGGTACCTCATGTGAATTTGGACATTTTGTGATGTGAGGATTCTTTTTTTTTTTTTTTTTTTTAATAGAGAGAGTGAGCAGGGGAGAGGGGCAGAGAGAGAGAAAGAGACAGAGAGAATCTCAAGCAGGCTCCAAGCTCAGTGCAGAGTCAGATGGGGGGCTCAATCCCAGGACCATGAACAGAGCTGAAATCAAGAGCCGATGCTCTACCGACTTGAGCCACCCAGGCACCCCAGGGAGTTAATTTTATTTTGAAGAAACAGTGGCTCTAGCAATTTGAGTAACTTTCCAAGGTTCATATGGCTCATAAATGAAAGAGAAGGAAAGTAGGTCCAAGAGTTGCTCTGAGTCTAAAACTCTTGTTGTTTTGAGGCTTCCTTCCTTTGAAATATATGAGCATTGAAAGAAGTACTTTCTTTAAGCAGATGGTTTACCATTTTCAAAGGAAAATTAATATTTTTGCATTATCTTTTCCTTATTTTTTCCATTCAGATTTCTCATCTCATCACTTTTTGCCCCATACCATGTCTGTTTGCCTTAATATTCTTTTCAAGTTTATTTTTATTGATTTTGAGAGAGTAAATGAGAGCGCCTGCAAGGAGAGAGGGAGAGAGAGAGAATCCCAAGCAGGCTCTGTCAACATGGAGCCCAATGTGGGGCTCAATCCTACAAATCGTGAGATCATGCCCTGAGCAGAAATCAAGAGTTGGACACTTAACTGACCGAGCCTCCCAGGCACCCTGATTTGCCTTAAATTCCTTACTTCTTTTTGACTTAACACAGTTATGTCTCAGAGAAGCAATATTCTTCCCCCCTTCAATGTTTTGTTTTTTTGTTTTTTTTTTTTTTTATTTATTTCTAGGAGAGAGAGAGAGAGACAGCGTGAGCAGGGGAGGGTCAGAGAGAGAGGGAGTCACAGACTGAAACAGG